TAGCCATCACTGTCTGTTTCGTGCATAGGCGAACACACAGAGATAGACACATTCGCATGCTTCGAGGTTGCCAGATATAGTGTATATATACAGCTTTATGGGGATGTGCCGGTGGGTTTTCTTAATTCGTTAGCTTTAATTTGATTGTCAGACGAAAGCTTAGCACGCTCTTTCCGTAATCGAAGGAGATTACACCAGAAACCTCGTCAGCAGGATTCCTCCAGTAAAGCCAATCGACAGCTTGTCAAGAGTGCTCCTCTGCCTTATGGTGGAATCGACTTTCGAATCTCTTCACCAAACATTTTCACTCGAAATGAAAGTAAGCTCAACAATGCCGGAGTCCATTCGACAGATATGGGAAAACCCTCAAAATCTGTGGTCTTAGAACCCTGTATATGAAATGTATACATCTGATACGCTTATCATATATACGAGTCATCTTTTTCTCAACATGTTCTTGAGGTTCATACACTGAAACGTCTAGAGATTTTCTGCCTATTACGGTTTCATAGATTACGAATCCGACAGTACAAATCAATCTTCTGAATGCTAGTCTGACGGCAGAACATCTTTTTATTAGATACGAAGAGAGACTGGGTTTCGATGAATCTCTTGAGATAAGATTCTTATTTCCCGCATGGGATCTTCTTTATTGACAATCTCGGTGGCTTTATAAGAATTACTTCAATGAAGATATGAATACCAAGGTTGTGTGGCCTCTATTTTCATCGAGGTCCTCTTTCTCTGTATAAAATTGATTTGGGATCGTTTTCGCAACTTGGTCGTGTTGTCAGCGCGACATAGAGGAGTGTCTACCAAGATATTACCCTGACTCCTTCGCCATAATAGTCAAAATACTATAGCCGAATGTAAGCCGTTTAATTTAAAAATATTCAGGGATATAATGCATATCAAGTTTCGCCCCTGATACTTAACCAGTCAGATTTCCCTTGGTCTATCTAGCCTTGTTTGGCCAGACGAGCAGATGAATGGGATCATCAGAAATCAGCTCATTATTCGAACAATATTTAGTATGTAGTGACTTTTGCTCGATAGTCACTTACATCTTTCGTCAGAATCAGTTAGTAAGTCGTTATCCCTCAACAAAGTCAACATCACTCGGTGCTTGACTCATCTGCGCTATTTCCCGCGGGGACTACGCGAACCTAGCCACGGCATCGATTCTCATTATTGAATCAATCAGTACATGGTGCTAAAGGTACGCGAGTATTTTAAACCAGAAGCTCCTTAGACTGTTCTCCTCTTGTGCCTTTGTGGCCCTCTATGACCTGTCACTTCTCTCTGGCACCGACACCACACTCCGCCATCGTCTTTGTCTTCTCACTCTGAATCCTCGCCTGTTACGCCATGTTTTATAGGAGGCACTTTGCAATTAGTTTTTCCGATTTTATATTCAAGGCCGGGTTACTCTATACAGTATGGCGAAGCCGAGCCATAATTTTCGGTGGATATTTCTACCACTAAAAGAACATTTAACTTTATTCAGGCCCAGGTTACAAAAGTCTCCATTATGTCTGCCTAATATTCAGCTCTTGATTGCTTTGTCGATTTACAAGACACAAGATGACTGTTTAGTAGTGTATCGACTCTTAAATCGCGACTATCTACTATGTTGGTTAGCATAATATTGGAGCACAGCAATTATGTCCGCAAGTCCTGAGCGCGAACTACCCTTTCGTATATCCTTCCATTCTGATCTTGCCTAAGATTCCTTTAACAATTCAGATCGCGTCATCCTCTCATGGGTAAGACAATCCAGCGTGGCAGCAGCCAGGCCTTCTGGGAGAAGTACTTAGTACATATTCAGTAAATTAGTTCTCCAATTCTCCGAGACAAAATCGTTAAACTATAATACCTATCCTTCGTTTTTAGTCACATTTTTTCTTTCTATCCACCCCTAAAGTGCTGTTTCAATTCCTATGTTGTCATGCCATTAGGAATTTTTCCTCTCGCCTCCACTCTTAGCCACGTGACTTATCCCTTCTCCTTACATTCACTTAGCCCTGTCACAAAGCGCCAAGTCTATCACCCTCACTTCGCACTCTCCCACCAGCTTTCTTTTCTCATATTCAACTTATAACTCACACAAATCAGTCCTTACACTCATCTTGACTCGATCTATGACTGTCGGTCAACAACATCCTTGCCAGTAAGACGTGGATCTATCATTAGATCCACCAGACTTCGCCGCTGCTCAAAGCCTAGACAACTGTCCGACCCTAATCAAAAGCTTATCTTCGCATCCTATGCGTATTGGTTTCCCCACAGCTCAATTTCTTTGTCGACAACGCTTGGCGGTTCCCTTAACGAGCCTCATCTCAGCCCGGTACTTCAGCTTCTTTCCTTAATGGACCACTCTTAGCTAGTCCTGACGCTCGCTTCTCCGAAGCTAATGAGGCCTCGTTAATTTCTCATAATCCCTACCGAGTTGACTTGTTCCACACTACCTTCAGGATGACGCTTATCTAGCGCCTCTTCCTACGTGATCCCTTCTCCACTACGCCGCTTCTCTTCGCCTTGTTTTATTGTCCGTATCATGAAAAAGTCGCTCGGACTTCCGCGCGTAGACCGCAGTCATTTATCTTCTAAATCCAGACGGTATTACAGCAGTGATATGTAGAAAGATTGGCTTTACACCGTTAAGTCCATGAGTCTGCGTATACAGGATTTTATTTTCTCTGCCGCATTAAGGGTAATTTGCTCAGATCTGCCCTTAATCAACACTATTTATCCACATGGCATCTCTGCTTCATTGATTGTAGAGGCGTCTCTTCCATGTGGATACACTACAAAGCACACCTTGGTCGCCTGGTTTCCAGCATCTGCATGCGCAAACTACACCTGTGTTAATACTGAATATGCACTCTTCGATTATATTTAGCTTTTAAATTATCTTCTCCGGTCCTCTACTTTATCATCTAGTCTGGAGTCGAGTTTTCTTTCCTATGTGTCAAAGGGCCGAACCACAATATGCTTTTGCCTACTTTTCTCTGTCTTTCATACCTGTCCATGTTTATCCTTGCATCTCAGCCCCCGTGCAAACATATATTATTTCACCAATCACCGGTAAAACACGGTAAAAATTGCCTTAGGGCAGGGATAATAGAATGCTACCGGAAACGCGGATAACCCAGGGCGGAAGGGGAGATACCATAACTGCTTAGCATACGTTTGGTCAAAGGATCGGCTTCACTTGTCTCTTTGACGTGTAGCTGTATGGTGCTTAGGATGGCGATACTCACTGACGATGCCGACTACGATGCCGGCGAAACGTTTG